GGTGAACACTCCAATGGCAGAGGCATTCAAGGGAAAGTTAGACAACCATCTGCCAGATATTGTTTGATCTGGATTCCTGCACTGAGCAGGGGGTTGGACTTGATGGTCCTTTATTCCATGATTCTATAGTAGGCTACAGCCTTTAAAACTGGAGTAGGCAACATTTGAGGGTTAAGATGCCGTGCCCGCAGACCAACTACAGCTATACTATGCACGGAAATGGCTGAAAATTGCAATTTTTTTATTTTTTATTTTGCATTGAGGGGTAGATGAATATTGGGGTACCACCAACACAAAAAACCCTATTTCTCTAGAAACTTTTTTTGGCCAAAGTAGGACCCTTTTTTGGTAATTTTTCAAAAATGTGTTTTCCCCGGGAGGGCCTCAGAAGCCTGTCAGGGGCCCAAATGCCTCATATGGCAAAGTACTTTGTGAACACCTTATTTAACAGTAATGCTACACAATTAATATTCAACAGTGTGTTAAAGAAACAACAACTTTTGATAAAGACTATAACAGAAGGATTTCAGAAACATAAAAAGGACATACAGGACTATACAGCCGTAAAATGTAATCCAGTTCAAAACTCACCCAGGCAGTATGCTCTTTCAAGTAACAGCCCTTGTATTCTATGGTGTTGGGGTGCTTCAGCTGTCGTAGAAATCTGACTTCCTTGATAATATCCTGCCATTTCTGTTTTTTAAAAAAGCCAAAGGAACTTGGTTTAGCATCAAGCCCTGTACTGTCCAAAAGATCATAAAGTTAAAGAAGCAAAAAACCAAAAAGTTTCTGAGGTAGGCTAAAATCAAGGGCACATTGCTTCCTCTCATTTCATCAGAAATATTATATCTGAACAGACTGGGATTTTGTTTCTGAGTCCTAAATGACTCCACGTGGCATTTGGGACCAGGAAGTAGAGGTAAAACTTTCAGTTCATATCCTCCCAGGAAGTTAAAAGATCAAAGCTACCCTCACAAAAGATCATTATTAATAATTGTACAACTGGAATATATAGGTCCTGTGGTTTCACAATCCACACAAGGCATGCACATTAAGCTAACAAATGCAGTATTGTAAATTCAAGAGTCAACCAAAATTCGAACAAGAGTACATGAGATGCATGCTTTTTAAATTTTGTTTTGCGATTTTTATAACAGGATTTGACTGAATCATTATAAAACTGAAACTAATTAGGACAAGCATGGAGGGGCCACTCAAGCTTTGATGGCCTTCTGATGCAACTTCTTGTTGTTTAGTTGTTAAGTTTTGTCTGACTCTTCATGACCGCATGGACCAGAGCATGTCAGGCCCTCCTGTCTTCCACTGCTAGGAGGGCCTGGCATGCTCTGATTCCGATTTTGGTTGACTTTTGAATTTACAACACTGCTGGGGGTACAGACTTCAAGTATTGATACAAGCCTTCAGATTCAAGTCCCATGAGATATTCTGTTTAGCAGTAGTTGTTTAGTTATTTCGCAGCATCTGAAAACCACGCAGATTTCAGGTTGTAAGTAGCTCACTGTCTTTAGTCTCACTTTGCTTCACTGCCAAGCAAATTATCATTTGGCCATAATTTTTAAAGAAGGCTCTTCTGTGAAAGCATCTTGGACACAACCGAACAGTTAATGTAATGTTAACAGCGTAACAGATTTGTACATTTTTGTCCTTCTTACCTCGTTTGTTTGCTTGCCACTGTAAGACATCTTCTTGATTGCCACAACCTCATTAGTGCGAGCATTGGTGGCCTAGAAGTTGGAAAGGAGGATGCAAGGAAAGAGAAAAGTAGGGTTTAACCTTTTTTAAAAATTTGCCCCGACAGCTAAACAAACTGGTACCTATGGAGACATGCTTCCTCATGAATGTTAGTTTATCTCTATACTAGGTGTCATGCCAGAGTCATCACTTCCTGTCTTACACTGCCTCCTGGAGTTGGTCAAATTCATGCTGGTCGCTTCGACCAGGAGGGCCTCAGAAGCCTGTCAGGGGCCCAAATGCCTCATATGGCAAAGTACTTTGTGAACACCTTATTTAACAGTAATGCTACACAATTAATATTCAACAGTGTGTTAAAGAAACAACAACTTTTGATAAAGACTATAACAGAAGGATTTCAGAAACATAAAAAGGACATACAGGACTATACAGCCGTAAAATGTAATCCAGTTCAAAACTCACCCAGGCAGTATGCTCTTTCAAGTAACAGCCCTTGTATTCTATGGTGTTGGGGTGCTTCAGCTGTCGTAGAAATCTGACTTCCTTGATAATATCCTGCCATTTCTGTTTTTTAAAAAAGCCAAAGGAACTTGGTTTAGCATCAAGCCCTGTACTGTCCAAAAGATCATAAAGTTAAAGAAGCAAAAAACCAAAAAGTTTCTGAGGTAGGCTAAAATCAAGGGCACATTGCTTCCTCTCATTTCATCAGAAATATTATATCTGAACAGACTGGGATTTTGTTTCTGAGTCCTAAATGACTCCACGTGGCATTTGGGACCAGGAAGTAGAGGTAAAACTTTCAGTTCATATCCTCCCAGGAAGTTAAAAGATCAAAGCTACCCTCACAAAAGATCATTATTAATAATTGTACAACTGGAATATATAGGTCCTGTGGTTTCACAATCCACACAAGGCATGCACATTAAGCTAACAAATGCAGTATTGTAAATTCAAGAGTCAACCAAAATTCGAACAAGAGTACATGAGATGCATGCTTTTTAAATTTTGTTTTGCGATTTTTATAACAGGATTTGACTGAATCATTATAAAACTGAAACTAATTAGGACAAGCATGGAGGGGCCACTCAAGCTTTGATGGCCTTCTGATGCAACTTCTTGTTGTTTAGTTGTTAAGTTTTGTCTGACTCTTCATGACCGCATGGACCAGAGCATGTCAGGCCCTCCTGTCTTCCACTGCTAGGAGGGCCTGGCATGCTCTGATTCCGATTTTGGTTGACTTTTGAATTTACAACACTGCTGGGGGTACAGACTTCAAGTATTGATACAAGCCTTCAGATTCAAGTCCCATGAGATATTCTGTTTAGCAGTAGTTGTTTAGTTATTTCGCAGCATCTGAAAACCACGCAGATTTCAGGTTGTAAGTAGCTCACTGTCTTTAGTCTCACTTTGCTTCACTGCCAAGCAAATTATCATTTGGCCATAATTTTTAAAGAAGGCTCTTCTGTGAAAGCATCTTGGACACAACCGAACAGTTAATGTAATGTTAACAGCGTAACAGATTTGTACATTTTTGTCCTTCTTACCTCGTTTGTTTGCTTGCCACTGTAAGACATCTTCTTGATTGCCACAACCTCATTAGTGCGAGCATTGGTGGCCTAGAAGTTGGAAAGGAGGATGCAAGGAAAGAGAAAAGTAGGGTTTAACCTTTTTTAAAAATTTGCCCCGACAGCTAAACAAACTGGTACCTATGGAGACATGCTTCCTCATGAATGTTAGTTTATCTCTATACTAGGTGTCATGCCAGAGTCATCACTTCCTGTCTTACACTGCCTCCTGGAGTTGGTCAAATTCATGCTGGTCGCTTCGACGACACTGTCCAACCATCTCATCCTCTGTCGTCCCCTTCTCCTCTTGCCTTCACACTTTCCCAGCATCAGGGTCTTTTCCAGGGAGTCTTCTCTTCTCATGACATGGCCAAAGTATTGGAGCCTCCGCTTCAGGATCTGTCCTTCCAGGGAGCACTCAGGGTTGATTTCCTTCAGAATGAAAAGGTTTGATCTCCTTGCAGTCCAGGGGACTCTCAAGAGCCTCCTCCAGCACCAGAATTCAAAAGTATCAGTTCTTCGGTGGTCAGCCTTCTTTATGGTCCAGCTCTCACTTCCATACATCACTACTGGAAAAACCATAGCTTTGACTATGCGGACCTTTGTCGACAAGGTGATGTCTCCGCTTTTTAAGACGCTGTCTAGGTTTGTCACTAAAATAGCCAAAATACTACAAATGTCTGCTAAACACTCTGCTTCCTGTGCATAAATCCCTAAAACTCTATGAGGACCTCAATGAGAAAAGAGCCACCACCTGTCAAAGCCTGAAATATCTGACCCAGGAGAAATTTCCTCTCCCATGCAGCCTTAGCTAAACTACAGTCCTAAAACCTTTACCATGGGCCATCCAGACGGAGAATGATAGGAGGTGTAGTCCTGCATCATTTGGGGTGCTGACAACTGCCACACAAGTATCTCAAAGTAAATTTGAGCAGTGCCACATACTGTAATGCTGCTTTGGGTTACTAAGGTGGGCTACAGAATACCAACCTCAAATGCTAAATTGTTATTTTGCACCAAGTGAAGCATCTATAAGCTCTCTCACACACAAGGAACTACTGTTCCGTATGCAAGCAAATGCACTTTTATATAAGCCTGTGTCTTTCATTCAGCTTACACCCTTGCCTCCCCAATGAGTCAGGGTAGCCCCAAACCATGTGAATAAACCAGATGTTGTCTATGATAAAACAGTTGCCCTCACTGCTTGCTACTGATCTCAACTTCCATGATGGCCCAATATCCTTAACAGGAGCCAAAACACCTTTTCCAGTATACACTATCAGTGTTGGACAACCAGGTGCCAACAGAGCCCATAAGACAGACAATAGGCAACAGCCCTTGCCCAGAGTAGTTTCCCAGACTAATAGACATAGACTGCTTTTATCTCTTCATGAATTTACCTAATTCTCTTTTTAGGACCATCAATTATACTTTACGGCAGCAAATCCCGCAGTTTACTCAGGTGCTATGGGAAGAGATACTCTCTCCATCCTTTATTTTCACTAGGTAACCTTTGACTCTAGTGTTATTAAAGGGGAAGGAAAATTACCCATGCTAACTCCAGCAATCTCTTCCAGGCAAGTCACTGCCTAATGGAAAATTCAGAATTTTGGCCTCAAGGTACTTATATTGCCACACACATTCCATTTTGGGGGGGATCCTTTTGGAGTTTAGCATCATCGTTTTCTGTTTCTACCACTCTGAATTATTTCGTGCTGTCAACAAATCTGAGCACCTCACTGTTCTCCATTAATTCTAGATTACAGAGGGGGAAACTCTGGCCTCCATAGGTTTTGGACTCTAATTTGTATGATCCTTTACCACTGGGTGGATGGAATAGAACTACAGACCAAGATATCAGAGTGGCTAAAGATGCCTTACATTGAGAGCCAGTGTTGTGTAGCAGATAAGAACGTGGACCTGGCTTCCAATTGCAGCTTGGCCATGGAAACCCATTGTGGGGAGTGTTACTGGTAAAATAACTCTTCATATATCTCACACACTTTGGGAACCCTCCTTGGGTTGCCATAAGTTACAACCAACTTGACACACAAAGATTCTTCACCTCCATCCTAAATCTTTTCTGTCTTAAAGACCAAAATTACCAAGACTGAGAAGCCAGAGTCAGAAGATTCATAGGTGTTATAAAGTCAGAAAAAAAAAAACACTGCCCTCTTATTTCATCCAGCAGCCACTAAGGGTGGTACTGTATTTTTCGCACCATAAGACACACTTTTTTCCCACAAAACAGGGGGGTGGAAAGTCTGTGAGTCTTATGGAGCGAAGAAAACAGATTATATTTTCCTGTTTTCTTCTCCTAAAAAATTGGTGCGTCTCATGGAAAGGTGCGTCTTATGGAGCGAAAAATATGGTACTTGATTCTACTGGTAACATCCACATGAAGAGAAGTAACTTAGTGGCTTCCCCTCCTGGCACATTTTCATGGAAGTACTAAGGTAAGTGGCTTCCGCTCTATCAAATCTTGAGAGTTAAGAAAGCTGACGGGGGGGGGGGATAATTTTTTGTGAAATGTGGTGCTGGAGGAGAGCTTTGCAAATGCCCTGTGGAGCTTTTGTTGTGTGTCCCACCACTAGAAGAACCAAGACCAGTGAGCATATGAGCCACTGGGCTTTCTTGGTGGCAGGTCCTTGACTCTGGACCTCCCTCCTAAGGAATGTCAGAATGAGTCCACTCAAATTGCCCCGTCAGCAACTTCTCAACATCTTCTGAGACCCTAGGGCTGAAACCTGAGAACAAGACAAAGTCCCTCATGATGTTACAGGAAGCTAGCTCTTATGTCACAGCTGCAAAAGTGTGTCTGTCTGTCTGTGCATGCACATGTGCACATGTGCACATCTGTATTATTAGACAAGCTTAATAAAATGTATTACAATCTCCTTCCCAATTTTTCAGTCTTTTTAAAATGTAGAGTCCGATATAAAATTCTTCCTGTCACTTGTCCCAGGGTTTCAGCCAGATATTTAAATAAATAAACAGAACCTTAGGAGTTTAGGAGCTTTTATGCCTCAAAAGTGCTATTTATATTTTCAAGTGAGTCACTGGCTCTGCATCTTTCTATTAATAAAAAGGAAGCTTTATATGAAAACCTCCCGACACATTTTCAGCGATGCCAGTAGTATCTGGTGATTCTTTCCACCCCATGTGCTTAAAATAAGCTACACCCAACTCCAGGAGCTGGTAAAGGTGTGGCAACTGTTTGATGTGATCTCCACCAAGAGCATTGGAAAAAGAATTCTTCCCTGCAGAACGCGCTTCTGTGGCGGCACCGTTTGGTGGAGCTTTAAATGATTAAAGCAGCAGGGCTCTTACCTCCTTCCCTTAAAGGACTAATCCACAGCCTGAGACATTTTACAGTTAAATAACAGACTCATCAGACAGACTGTAAGTAATGCTGTAAGGCAGGCTGCTTTAAGTGGCCCTGCCTCATTTTCAAGGAGTACTACATCATTTCTGCAAAGCAGAGGAACTAATAAGTTCATTCTACTTCATTTATAAAACTAGGTCACCTCCTTTAGTTAGCACACAAGCAGCCATCTTTTGCAACTGAAAATATACAAAACAGGAAGCGATGCTGTGATGTGAAGCTCTCTTTAAAGTGTCAACGTTTGTTTTTATTAATTTAATGAGGAACTACAGGAGGTCCCAGATCCAAGTCTCATCTCTGCCACAAACTCACTGGGTAGCCTTAGGCAAGAAACAATCATTGCCGGCACAGCCCCACCTTAGAGAATACTACCAATACAAGAATGCACATGCACCCTACATACACAGAATGCGTGCGCCTGTGTTCACTGGTCAAACGCAGATGCTCTCAGCCCTTCCGTTTTGGTGGCAATCTGTAATATTCTGGCAACAGCAAAACCCTAACAAAAGCTATCCTGAAAATTTTGTTGTGAATATGGTTCTAGGAATCCCTGTTTTTGCCTCTCTCAATTGCAAAACAGCAAAGAGAAAAATATGTATGTGGGGGGGGGGGAGAGGGAGTGGCAGATAAGCTATTTCCCACTCATTGCTTTTCCACTGTTAATTTCACTTCCTTCTCACCATGCTTACTTAACCTAAGGCATCCAACACAAGCCTGGAGCCTAGGAACATAGTCGAGAGGAAAGGAGAAGGGAGGAGATGCATGCATCCATCTTCACCTATCTTGTTCGAATCAAACCTGCCACTGTGCAACTTGGAAATCCCAGACATACGTTTGCCACTGACTGTTAGTCCTTACGCCCCCTGTGTTCTTGCCAAAATACTTTAACAACAGAAAAAACAAAAGTCTTTTTCTGCATAATAGATGCCCTTCTGGAATGGTGGAAGGAACCAAAAGGGAAGTCAAAGAGCCGTAATGATAGCAAACATCTTTTTTGAGTTAATTACTACAGAAATACTTTTTTAATGAGTACTAGTATAGAAAGAATTACTTACAAAATACACTGCTCCGAAACTTCCATGTCCAATTTCATGTAAACCCACAAACAGTTCCTGAGGATCATCTTTGTAGAACAGGTCAGCTATATCTGGGTCTTTTGGTACCCCTTTCCGCATGTTGAACAATATTAGGATTGTGTTCCCACCTTAGAGTCACAGGCAGTGTCTTCCCTCATTGACAATGGAGTTGGTACTTAACAGATCAGAACCTGGAGAAAGGGGAAATTGTGGTCAAATAACCAATTAAGTGCTTCCAACTATTTTCAATCATTTGGTGACTTTTATTCAGAGATTTGAGGAAACAACATTTCTGGAAGGGGGTGAATTTTTTATGATTTCTCTCTTAACTATAAAGATGTTCTGAAAGCAATCTATGTACCTCATTGGAAATATCTGTATCCTGCCTTTATCCCCCAGAGAGTGGTTTAACACAAAATAAAAATTCAAGGTCCAAATTATTTATTTATTATAAATAAGAAGGCAGCGATGACTGAAAGGTAGTATATATGCTCCAATGTGTATTCTTTAAAAGGCAGCTGAAAGACCAGCCCCTCTTGGCAGTTTCATCTGCAACCAGGGAAGCTTTCTGTCTGGCAGGAAGAGAGCATGTGATGCTTTTCTCACAGGCACAGGTTTCTTGCCCTGTCAAATGTTTCTCGGCCCTTGACCTCAATCGTTAGCACAATGGTCAGACCAAAGACCTAAAAGCCTAATGTGGCTGTGCTTTTGGACCAGGTCCTCTCAATGGAGACACAGATCTTGGTCATGGCGAAATCTGCCTTTTTCCATCTGAGGCAGATGGCACATCTCAGCCCCCTTCTCGACAAGACGCCTCTAATAACACTAGTTCATGCATTGGTAATCTCAAGGATTGACTTCTGCAATGCCCTCTATGTGGGGCTGCCCTTGAAGGTGCTTCAGAAGCTGCAGCAAGTGCAAAAGGCGGCAGCCAGTCTGGTTACCGATACATCTAAATTTGACCATATTCCACCCATCCTGGCTCACCTGCCATTATGCTTATGGGCCAAATTTAAGGGACTGATGTTAACTTACGAATAAAGCCATTTACAGTTTGAGACCTCGCTACTTGTCAAAGTGTCTCTCCCTCAGGTCATCCTCCTGTCCCACCTGCACCTCCCAATCCTTGATGCTATGGGTGGCCAATCTGAAAGAGGTCCAGAACACATCAAGCAGAAACCGGGCATTCTCAGTAGTAGCCGCCCCACTTTGGAACTCCCTCCCTGTAGGGGTGTGATTGGCCCCCACCCTCCTGAGCTTCCATAAGCAAGTGAAAACCTGGCTTTTATCCAGGCCTTTACAATCCTCGCCCTTTGTAATATTAATTTTGTACTGAGTTTATGCTGGCCCATGGTTTGCCAAATGGGTTTTTTTTTATGTTCAGTTTTTGTTTTTATTTCAAATTGTTGTACAGGATATTTATGTTATTTCCCGGAAGCCAGAGTACTGGCTCATTCACTAAATGGGAAGGATACAAGTACAAATAAATAAATAAAAATCTGATCACATTCTGCAGTTTCAGCAATGAACACTGAGTGGAAGAAACAAATGAGGTTAACTAACTAACTAACTAACAGAATTAAGATTGCCGGAAGAAATATCAACAACATCAGATATGCAGATGATACCACTCTGATGGCAGAAAGTGAGGAGAAATTAAGGAACCTTGCAATGAGGGTGAAAGAGGAGGGTGCAAAAAATGGTCTGAAGCTCAACATCAAAAAAACAAAGATCACGGCCACTGGTCCCATCACCTCCTGCCAAATAGAAGGGGAAGAGATGGAGGCAGTGACAGATTTTACTTTCTTGGGCTCCATGTTCACTGCAGAGGGTGACAGCAGCCATGAAATTAAAAGACGCTTCTTGGGAGGAAAGAAATGACAAACCTTGACAGCATCTTAAAAAGCAGAGACATCACCTTGCCAACAAAAGTCCAAATAGTCAAAGTTATGGTTTTTCCTGTAGTGATGTATGGAAGTGAGAGTGGGACCATAAAGAAGGCTGACCGCTGAAGAATTGATGCTTTTGAATTCTGGTGCTGGAGGAGACTCTTGAGAGTCTCCTGGACTGCAAGGAGAACAAGCCTACCCATTTTGAAGGAAATCAACCCTGAGTGCTCCCTGGAAGGACAGATCCTGAAGCTGAGGCTCCCAATACTTTGGCCATGTCATGAGAAGAGAAGACTCCCTGGAAAAGACCCTGATGTTGGGAAAGTGTGAAGGCAAGAGGAGAAGGAGATGACAGAAGACGGGATGGTTGGACAGTGTCATCGAAGCTATCAACATGAATTTGACCGAACTCTGAGAGGTAGTGGAAGACAGGAGGGCCTGGCATGCTCTGGTCCATGGGGTCACGAAGAGTCAGACGTGACTTAATGACTAAACAACAACAAAACTAACTAACACTGTTTCTACTGCAACTGTTGCTTATTCAGGGAAGATCAGTGTGAAGAAAAGCAGGAGGAAAGTGAGCCGTCCTCACTGATAGAAATGTCAAAAGAGGGAAAGGGAATCAGTGGTTGTGAAATAAAAGAGATGAAAGAAATCTTAATAGAGGAAAAGAGGAGAACAGAGGTCTGTCTGGTGGGAGAAGGAGAAGGAGGAAAAGGGGAGGAGCTGAAAGTGTATGTGAGAAAAGTATAAAAGATCAGGGGGAGAGAAGATTCAGCAGCAGATGTGAGAATGAAGGAGGAAGCGGAAGAGGGAAAGAGAAGGGAGGGAATGATTTGGAATATGAAAGAATGTGTGGTCTTCTAAAGCAGTGGTTCCCAACCTTGGGCCTCCAGATGTTCTTGGACTACAACTCCCAGAAGCATTCACTACCACTTCTGCTAGCTTGGATTTCTGGGAGCTGAAGTCCGAGAACATCTGGAGGCCCAAGGTTGGGGACCATTGTTCTAAAAGACTTTCCAAACCTAAAAGTCAGAGGATTGCTGCCGGACCCAGAAACAAAGAGGGAAGGAGAGACTACATTTGAGACACAGGAATGGCGAGTGATCATCTTCCCACGGGGACAGGGGCATGGAAGGAAGGTGGTACGCCCGGATCAATCTTACAACAACCCTCCAAAGGAAGGGGACTGGGCTCATCACTCATGTTGTGGCACCGCTTGCACGATGCAGAGTGCCCCTCTATGAAAGCCCGGATCAATCTTACAACAGCCCTCCAAAGGAAGGGGACTGGGCTCGTCACTCATGTTGTGGCACCGTTTGCACGATGCAGAGTGCCCCTCTATGAAACATCATGGATCGAGAGCGGTTTGGTCCAGCCCCCCCCCTATGAATCATCCCCACCTATGAGAACAGTTATCATTATCCAGTTATGGACAGTTGCCTGATTCATCATGGTTTGATCCCGTTGGAATTATGGTTGAAACACCACAAGTTAATAAAGCTGAAGTTGAGAGCGATTCAACCAGATCTCAGTCTTTCTTTCCCGCCAAAACTGAGGAACTGCCACAACTCTCAAAAGAACCCAACCACAATCAGGGAATAGAGATCCAACTTGTGTTGGGTGGGGTTGCACTCCCCCTGCAAATTCACGTTGACAGCTTGGCAGTACTCCTGGATTAATCTGTGAGCATGGATACCCAGGTCTTCGGAATGGTTAGCAGTGTGTTTGCACTGATAAAACTAGTGAGCCAGCTATACTCATTCCTTGGGAGATCTCTTCTGGCCCCAGTGACACAGGCTGTAGTTACTGACTGTTTGGATTACTGTTGCTATATGTGGGCCTGCTTTCAGAAACTTCAGCAGGACCAAGATGCCACAGCTAGACTCCAACTGGAGCTGGTTACAGGGAGAACAGAATTTTTTGGTTTCATCTGAAGAAGTGTGCTTACATACACACAAACTTATGAAAAAAACCTAGTTACATTCTCTAGGCACTACATTACCATTTCTTATATAATTTGCCATAACTGATTAAAATGGCTACATGCTGCATATATTGGAGGTTTTTTCTGGTGTGCCGTTATCACAACCATATTATATAAGCCTTTTTCTCCTCAGATCATCCCTGCACTAATTGTCCTTCTACACTATATTAATTATTTAAAAAAAGATCTAGAAGTTCATTCAGCTACATTTGGACAGAGATTATCCTTCTGAATGTTCTATATAGTGTTCTGAGAAATTAGCAATATAATTCAGTAAGGCACCATACTGGAGTAAGCGATAATGCTACAGCATATTTGGTTTTCTCAGGTAAAATCCAGCAGCTTGCTTCACATTCTAACATTTCTCACTGCCAGAGTGGAACAAGAACTACATAAAACGAATGTTGGGGCAGGAGTTGGAGGTAAATAATTTATTTGTTTAAAAAAGGCTCTGAGCCCAGGTGTCTGGATGACAATTGCAAGGTCATAACATTTAAGATTTTGGGTCACATTCTTATTATGTTTAGGTTGCACATGATCTTCAGTTTCATCCATAACGAAGTGTGAGGTGGGAGAACCAAGGAAGCTTCTCCACATTTATGGCTCACAATGCTGAGAAGCTGTAGATTTTGCAAAGTTTAAAACCAAGAGGGTTGCACTGCAGTGAGAGGTAGGATAGAAGAGTGGCATTTTAGCATACCTGGGTAACTGTAGCATTAACCATACTCCACAGCTTGCACTCATTTCAGCAGAAATACTGGCTTTTCTTTTCTGTTGAGTCCCAAGTCACTATACACGTTCTGTCTTTTTGACCTGTGGAAATGGAAGGAATAGGCAACGATAAAATAAACAATACACTATACACGTGTGATTAGTTCTTTGCTGGACCACGGGCAATTTCTGAACTAACTGTAATGAGCTCATTTAACCATTTTCCTATATTTGTCCCCCCCCACCACCACCATTTAAACTGATGCCCCTTCCCTCTGACAAAAAAGGCACCTGAAAGCAGGAGAAAAGGCCAGGCATCTTCCTGTTCATCTTGTCAAAGTACAGGATGAAGGTGACAAATATCTCACCTTTTACCAACAGTCAGCACTATCCTCTTACCTTTAATCCTACACACACAGGATTACAACTGCAAACAACAATTATTCATGTCTGAGTGAGAAACATGTGGATCTTTAAGTGGAATTCTGCAGGAAAGCAGGATTCCAGAAAGAAGAATTGTGGTTTTCCTTTTACCTAACAGCTTTGCATGCACTACTGTGTCTACACTAGTCATCAAATAAACACAAATTATTTTAACCCATTTTTTCAGAAAAGGGATAGAAATAGTAAATAGGTAAAAATGTACAAAGATGGATTTGGATACCATTCTCTGTCTCAGCTTGGCTATATAAGAAGAAATACATTTGAATCAAACAGTTTAATTAATGAAAGATGCAAACATTGTAAAGACTTAGACCTGGGTAGGCAACTGTGTCTGATGTTACTGACTGCAACCCCCATGATCCCTCATCACTACCTAAACTGGTTAGGGCTGATGGGAACTGCAGTCAAATAATGTCAGCCACACCACCCATTCCTGAAGTCATTCAAGGAGAAGGAATGGGCTTCTGAAGCCAGTATATTGTATGTGCAAGAGATTGCATCTACATCAACTTCTTTATACATTATAGAGCTAATCTGAACCACACACACTTGCAGTGTGTCCTGTAACAAATTAACTGTATGCCTTTCTAGGTCACTGCATGCACAAGCAACTGGGAGAAGGGACCAACTGTGCAGAGATAGCGAAAGGCAGGTTGCCCTTCACACATTACTGCAGGGATGGGGAAATTTTTTCACACAGGAGGCCAAAGAGGTTCTCAGGAGCACATGGGGAGTCATAGGCCAGCAGTGTGTTCACTATTGGAATGTGACTGTCCAGGGCCTGATGATTAATGAATATTCACATAGTCTCTCTCCTGATGAGGCCAAGCTTTTACAAAAAACCCACATGTGCTAATGGAAGCTGCTCTTTTTAAAAGCTTCAAAAGAGCAACAAAGGGGAGATTTTTTCCAAGAGAATACAGTATTTTGAAGGGGAGGATAGTTCTTCTGCCCCCAATAATGTTCTGCTTCAAAATAACATCCATGCAGAAATGAAGCTATAAAGATTCTCCAGAGGCATGCATTCTTAAGTTCTTATTAGAGCATGAGAGAGTGGGACAAAATCCCTTTCTCTGCTAAGAAATAAGGGAAGCCGGGACACGGGAGTGCTGGACAGGTATCTCTGTAAACCTGTCCAACCCAATGGGCTTTTAGAGGCTCCCCATATGAACATTAGGGGATGTGGTGGCGCTGCGGGCTAAACCGCAGAAGCCTATGTTGCAGGCCAGAAGACCAACAGTCATAAGATCGAATCCACGTGACAAGAGTGAGCTCCCGTCGCTTTGTCCCAGCTCCTCGCCAACCTAGCAGTTTGAAAGTATGCAAATGCGAGTAGATAAATAGGTACCACCTCGGTGGGAAGGCATTCCCTTGTAAAATGGCATTCCCTAGTCACGCTGGCCACGTGGCAACGGAAACTGTCTTCGGACAAGCGCTGGCTCTACGGCTTGAAAACAGGATGAGCATCGCCCCCTAGAGTCGAACATGACTGGACTAAAAATGTCAAGGGGAACCTTTTACATACGAACATTACAATGTGTGCTGTGAGTATATGCTCTACTATTACATATGAAGCACCTCTTTCAGTAAAAGTTTTTCATTACTGAAAATCAGTATAATATCATAACTAAGGCCACAAAGTGGGGATCTTCTCACTCAAATCTTTCTCAGTTGCTTGAGGCAAATTGTTATACCCTAGAGAACTGTTGCAAGAATTATTGAGCTAACAGAGATAAAACATTTTGAACATTTTAACATTAAGTTTCATCATTATTCTACCAGCACTCATTGACACCTGGCATCGTTTGTTTTTCATGAAGCAGAGCTAATATTTAGAAGTCCCATTATTTACAAACATTCAGTGTCAGGGACACAGGCTGCCCTGAGGTGACCTGCCATGCTCAATTTACTGACCAATAATCAACTGGGTTGGAGATCTGTTTCCATGTACAACCTTCCTTTTGCCAAAGAAGACTGCTCTTAGGTGACTACTGCAAAACAATTGTTTGGAAACTGAAAAACACCTGGCAGGATGACTGTGGATGTGTCCAAATGGTGGGTAAGTTGCTGTAGCATACAATCAGAGAGCACCAAAGAAAGTTAGATGTCTTTTTTTCCAGCATACTCTTCTATACTCACTGGGGAAAGAGAGCTAACTAGAGAGCATGCATATCAGCATACAGAGAAGCATACTGATGCTTCTGTCATGAGGATAAACAGTGAGATTAAGACAAGCTGAAGAACATGAAACATGTTTTACAGGGAGAAGTAAAGCCAAACATTCAAACATTCCCAACAATTAAAAGACCATCTTATTGGCTGTATAAACAGGTTTTTGTCGTGGCTGTATCAAAATTGTGGGATATCTTATTCCACAAAATCCATTTGCCCCCCTCCTCTCCAAAGGGTTAAACCACTGGTTCTTAACCTTGGGTTACTCAGGAGTTTTGGACTGCAACTCCCAGAAGCCTTCACCACCAACTGTGTTGGCTGGGGTTTCTGGGAGTTGCAGTTCAAAAACATCCGAGTAACAAAGGTTAAGAACCACTGGGTTAAACCTATTCTAGCAACCATCAGACTCCCTCTCTTGATATACAACTTAGGTGCAACTACACAGTGAGAGAAATGCAAATTCACTCAGATTTTACTTGCTGTGAAGCTGCACTTGGGAATTTAGGTCAATTCAATTCAAGGATATAGGAGAAAAAGCCTTGTTTGCTACTTGTTTGCAGCTCTATTGAAGCCCAGAAGGAAGTGTAGTTAAAAGGAATTGCCAGCAAGCTGTTAAGTTTTACTCCTTTAAATTCCTCATCTTTTTAGTTGTTGTTTTTTTGCTTGTTTGTTTGTCTGTTTGGTGTGTGTTTAGATGCCCTAGTGCAGGAGAGTTGGAACCAAGGTTTTTTTAAAAAATAAAGTCTTGCCAGCTTTGCAAGCTGAGAGAGGCTTCACATTGCCCTTAGATATAAAAAGAAAGAGATGAGATGAGATGAACCAGTCATTCTGATGGCTTTATCAAGCATTCCCAAGTGTGTGTGCTAGTGTGGCAGCTCTTCTGCATCAGTTCAAGTGATCACATGCCTAAACCAATGCAAATCAATCCATTATTTTGAAAAAGTAGAAGCCTCAGTTACAGAAGGGAAAACTATGGATTGAGGAGCTGGGTAACTCCAGGCTGATTCACATTACCCTTTGTACCATGTGATCAACAGAAAAATGTGAATCAGCACCAAATCTGTAGCATTTCCCACATTTCTTCTCATTGTAGTTGCAACTGTGTCAGGGCAGCTAGATGCAATACTATTAGGCGCCTATACTCTGTTATGCATCTAGACTTCTAGCAGGGTCACCCAAGACAGAACAGACAAAATGAAAATGAAATACATCCACCCCCTTCAGGAATGAACGGTCACATCAGCAGAAGAGAATTCATAGCAACAGGAGTGGAAGATAACACTAGCAGAGATCCTTCCTAGACAACAGCTATGACATGCAAGCTAACTTTTGTTAGTTTTGTGCCTAGGAAAACTGAACACTTTATATGTCAGCTATTGGTTAGTAGCAGTAATAGAAGAAACAATGGCTGAGGGAGTGGAGGTCGCACAGATGGGCAAATGTTTTACAAGCCTCTAAGAAACATCTTGAGAGTTGGATGGGAAAATAGACGAGAGGCCTCAGATCCAATAGGCTGGTAGGATATTACTGCAGAAATATAAACTTTCAATGTGGAGTGGGCCAAACCTTGATCAAACAGGTGATGAAGAAACAAGAGGAGGATACCACCAGGAACCACCGATAAACCTCTTGATGCAACAAATCTAGAGAAAACATTCCACTTATAGGAATACAGCAATTTAGTAGAGGGTTTCCTAGCTTTGTCCAGTACATCCGGCTATGATGAGGGGATGCTCCACACTGTGAGGTGTAGATTCCAGGTTGGGGTGACAAACACAGCTGTCGTTCTGAGTCAGGAGGTATGGCTGAAAAGGCAGTCTCAGGACTTCAGCCGCCATGGCTCTGACAGGAGTAAACCAGGGTTGTCGAGGCCACCATGGTGCTATTAAGATGGCATTGGCTTGCAACTGGCAGAGCTTAACTATTGTCCGCTGGATAAAAGGAATGGGGGGGGGGAGGTAAAGTAGGACATCGCTCCAGTCTACCATAAAGGTGTCGCCTACGGAATTCATGCTGCATCCCACTCGAGAGCAGTAGTTGCTGCATTTTGAGTTGGTCTCAGTGGGAAAAATGTCGAAACCTGGTGTTCCCCATCAGATGCAGAGATGGTGGAAGGCAGAGTCATCGAGAACCCACCTGTGGGTTTGGGTGGTCAGACGGCTCAAACAGTCGGGAGGGCACAGAATTGGTAAGCCTTGTCCATGAAGAGGAAACGAAGATATTCAAAATGACGTTCGTGAATGGAGATATGGAAATGTGCATCTTGTAGGTCTACGATCACAAACCAATCGTCTGGAGAAAGCAGTGGGATAATGGATTCCAGAGTGACCATGTGAAAGTGCTTCGGATAGAGGTAGGTGTTGAGAAGTCACAGGTCCAGGATGGGGCGAAGGCCTCCAACACATTTGGGGACGGTAAAGTACCAAGAATAGAAAACGTTTAGAACATCTTGGGAAGGTACTCGTTGGATAGCGTATTTTTGGATG